GAGGCAGAAGAATTGCCTGAACCCAGGAGGCAGAGGTTGTGGTGAGCTGAGATCGTGCCACTGCACTCCAGCCTGGGTAACAAGAGTGAAAGTCCGTCTCAAAAAAAAAAAAAAAAAAAAGATGGGAGCCTTGCTTTGTCAACCAGGCTGATGTCCGGCTCCTCACCTCAAGTGATCCTCTTATCAGCCTCCCAAAGTGTTGGAATTATAGATAGGTATGAGCCACCACACCTGGCCTAGTCTGGAAATATTTGCATATGATCTAGGAGGTTGTATTAAGTGTCTTTAAAGTTCTTTTACATTCTGAACCAGGCACTGTGGCTCACACCAGTAATCCCAGCACTGTGGAAAACTGAGGGAGGCAGATCACCTAAGGTCAGAAGTTTGAGACCAGCCTGGCCAACATGGTGAAACCCCTGTCTCTACTACAAATAACAAAAATGAGCCAGGCATGGAGGTGTGCATCTGTAATCGCAGCTACTCAGGAGGCTGAGGCAGGAGAATCCCTTGAACCCAGGAGGCAGAGGTTGTGCAGGGAGCTCAGATCTCTCACCATTGCACTCCAGCCTGGGCAACAAGAGCAAAACTCTGTCTCAAAAAAAAAGTCTTTTATTTTCTGTCTTTATTCATCCATTCTATAGAAATCAAAACTGGATATAGGGATGGTTTAGACAAGAAACTGGAATAAATAGACCCAGTCTCCAAGGATGGGCCTTACGCCTGTAGCCAAAAGACGGCAAAGTCAAACAAGGCGAGGTGGCTCACACATATTATTCCAGCATTTTTGGAGGCTGAGGCAGGTGGATCACTTGAGTCCAGGAATTCGAGACCAGCCTGGACAACGTGGCGAAACCTCATCTCTACAAAGTATAACCAAAAAAGTACGTGTAGTCCCATCTAGTTGGGAGGGTCATTCTAGCCCAGAAGGTTGAGGACGCATTCACCTGAGCCCGCGCCACAGAACTTCATGCCCTCCGACCTGAGTCACAGAGTGAGACTCTATCTCAAAAAAAAAAAAAAAATTGCAAAGTCAATATACTGTTGTTTAAATATAAAATAAAGTGTTTAGACATATCATATTTTATTATTTTTCATATTAACTTACTTCTTCAATAACTAAACATCTACGATTCCCTAACATATAAAACAAATATATACAGCTTCTAAAAACATGGTACAAGGCCAGGTACAGTGGTTCACACCTGTAATCCCAGCACTCTGGGAGGCCACAGTGGAAGGATTATGTGAGCCCAAGAGTTTGAGACCAGCCTACGTGACATAGGGAGACCCTATCTCTATAAAACAATTTTAAGAAAATTAGCTGATCATGGCAGCATGCACCTGTGGTCTCAGGAATTTGGGAGGCAAAAGTGGGAGGATCACTTGAGCCCAGGAGCTCGAGGCAGCAGTTACCTATGATTATGCCACTGCACTCCAGCCTGGGTGGCAGAGTGAGATCCTGTCTCCAGAAAAAAAAAAAAAAAAAAAAAAAAAAAACGAGGCTGGGCGCAGTGGCTCACACCTGTAATTCCAGCACTAGGTGAGGCCAAGGCGGGTAAATCACATGAGGTCCAGAGTTAAAGACCATCCTGGCTCACACGGTGAAACCATGTCTTTACTAAAAACACAAAAATTAGCCATAATGGTGGGTGCCTGCAGTCCAGCTACTCCGGAGGCTGAGGTGGAATGGCTTCAACCTGGGAGGCAAAGGTTGCAGTGAGCCCAGATCGTGCCCAGTGCACTGCAGCCTGGGTGACAGAGCAAGATTCCATCTCACATGTACCCCAGAACTTAAAGCATAATAATTAAAAAATAAAATAAAAATTAAAAAAAGAAAGAAAAAAGAATCGATAAAAAAGTAAACAAATCAGCCTCATGGATTATAGTGAAGAAAAATAAATTTTAAAGAAGTCAACAAAGCACAATAGAAAAAATGACTGATATGCTAAAATACTGATAATACAATGAAGTAAAAAGGAAAATTAGAAGAAAATGTCCAGTACATTCACATCTTAGTAAAGGATGCCTTTGTTACATATGACTAAATAGAAATCCAAGAAGAGTCTGCTACAAAATCCTAACAATTTCTCCCAGACATGAACTAACAGATAATCTTATTTTCCTCCTTTTGCTTTCGAAGGATTTTCCAAATCTTCTAAAGCAAAGATTATTTTTATTTCTTCGTTTTTTAAAAAATACAGTCTCACTCACTGTCACTCAGGCTGGAGTACAGTGGCACGATCTCAGCTCACTGCAACCTCCTCCTCCAAGGTTCAAGCGATTCTCCGGCCTCAACCTTCCAAGTAGCTGGGATTACAAGCATGCACCACCACACCCAGTTAATTTTCTAAATTTTAGTAGAGAAGAAGTTTCACCATGTTGGCCAGGCTGGTCTTGAACTTCTGGCCTGAAGTGATCTGCCTGCTTCAGCTTGCCAAAGTGCTAGGATTACAGATGTGAGCCACGGCCTCTGGCCTAAAATTATTTTTAAAATCAGAAGAAATATTACAAGAGTTTTAAATATTGTCTTTCCAACTCTTCTTGTGGAAATGCTACTAAACGGATAAGCAAAAAACGATTGTGACAGAAAAGGTCTTTGGTGCTACATGAGCACATGGAGGCCACTCAGTGAGAGAGAAACTCAGTTTCTTGGAGAATGGACTGCAGTGACACAGAAGAAACCTGGGAATGACTGAACTTCCTCTGCAGGATAAACCACAGGGGAGTGCACAGCACCCCTGCCACCTCAGTGTGGGGGACACCAGGAGACACGCCAGGGAGGAGGGGGGCAGGGCAGAGCTGGGGGAAAGCTCTGGAAAGGTCAGAGCCTGGGTTGATCCTGGTCAGATATCTGACTTCTTTCTGCACATCCTCTATCAGAGCTGCTCATAATGTCTCCTCTTCTCAGACCCTAGGGCTTAAGTGAGGAGTTGTTACTGAACGAGAGACCAGGGTGCACAGGACAAGCACCTGTATTAAAAGGTGCTGTATCGGCTGGACTCTGTGGCTCATGTTGTAAACCCAGCACTTTTGGTGGCCGAGTCAGGCAGTTCACGAGACTGAGACCAGCCTGGCCAATTTGGTGAAACCCGGTCTCTAATAAAAATACAAAATTAGCTGAGCATAGAGGCGCGCACCCAGTTCGTGGGAAGCTGAGGCAGAAGAATTGCTTGAACCCAGGAGTCAGAGGTTGCAGTGAGCCAAGATCACGCCATTGAACTCCAGCCTGGTGGACAAAATGAGACTCTGTCTCAAAAAAATAAAATAAAACAAAGGTACTGCATCTTAGAACCATCGGGGACTCACAGTGGTTTCACTCCATCAAGTAAATTACTTTTGGATGGTGTAATACAGGATTTGATGAAAAGAGTCCTAAGTTCTAATTTTGATAGGAAGACATAGAAACAACACTTTATTTCATTTTTGACACAGGGTCCCCCGCTGTTCCCCCAGACTACAGCACAGTGGCATAATCAGGACTCACTGCAACCTTGACCTCCCAGGTTCAAGTGATCTTCCCACTTTAGCTTCCTGAGTAGCTGGGAATATAGGTGCTGTCACCACACCTGGTTAATTTTTTATTTTTATATATATATTTTTTTTGGTGGAGATGAAGTCTCCCTGTGTTGCCCAGGCTGATCTGGAGCTCTAGGACTCAAACGATCTTCCTGCTTGAGTCTCCCAAAATGCTGGAATTGCAGGTGTGAGCCACCAAGCCCAGCCTTGAATTCTTAAAATTATCCTTAGCACATGTGAATAGAGTTTGTGAACTGTACAAGAACCTTAAAGTCATAATCGGCATTCACCTTAGAATCTTGTAGCACAGTTAGGCTTTTGAAGGAATCTTAGCCAGCCAGTAACTATTCCCTAAACAATGACTCTTTTCAGGGCCCCGTGCTATATACAAAGATACAGATTCCTTAGTAGTTGTCAATATCCGATTAACTATGACCTTTTGCATAGGAGGTGCCTGTGGGTGAGGGAACATCAGTTCTAGTATCTAATTCAGACAATACTGACCCCCAGGCCACCTGGCACCAACCCCATTTGCACTCTAAATATTGTTGCCAATTCTCCCTGAGCAACACTTTAGAAACATAGTCCCTGGTAAAGAATATCAGAAAGGGCTGGGCGCCGGGGCTCAAACCTGTAATCCCTGCACTTTGGGAGGCCGAGGAGCGCAGATCACTAGGTCAAGAGATCGAGATCATCTTGGTCAACGTGGTAAAATCCCGTCTCTACTAAATACACAAAAATTAGCTGGGCATGGTGGCGTGTGCCTGTAGTCCTAGCTACTCGGGAGGCTGAAGCAGGAGAATTGCATGAACCCGGGAGGCAGAGGTTACAGTGAGCCGAGATTGTGCCACTGCACTCCAGCCTGGCACCTGGCGACAGAGTGAGACTCCGTCTCAAAAAAAAAAAAAAAAAGAATAAAAGAATAGCAGAAAGCTACAATATAAGTAAAATTAAAAATCAGTTCCAAATGTAAATTTTCTAATTGTTTGACAAGTTTAAAAAAAATACTATTTAAATAATAGCAGGAATGGGCTGGGCAGGGTGGCTCATGCCTGTAGCCCCAGGACTTTGAGAGGCCCAGATAGGCAGATCACTTGAGATTAGGCAGTTGAGGCCAGCCTGGCTAACCTGGTAAAACCCAGTGTCTACTAAAAAAAACTACAAAAATTACCCAAGTGCGCCTGTAATCCCAGGTACTCAGGAGGCTGAGGACTGAGAATCACTTGAACCCAGAAAGCAGAGTTTGCAGTAAGCTGTGATTGTGCCACTGCACTCCAGCCTGGGACACAGAATGACACCCCGTCTCCAGTAAATAATACCGAGAGTGAAGAGCTTAGAAAAACAGATATATGTGTGGGTGGGCACGGTGGCTTGTGCCTATAATCCCAGCACTTTGGGAGGCCAAGGCGTGTGGTTAACCTGAGGTCAGGAATTTGAGACCAGCCTGGCCAACATGGTGAAACCTTGTCTCTACTAAAAATACAAAAATTACCTGACAGGCAGATACCATGATCACGAAGGTGGTTTTCCCAGGGCGAGGCTCATCCATTGCACTCTGGGTGTGCTGACCACTGCGATTTCCCCAAATGTGGGAAATTCTACTGCATGATTTGTGGTAGTGGGGGACTGTGTTTGTGCTTTCCCTTGATAACAGATAAAAATAAATGAATAAAAAATAAAATAAAATAATTAAAAAATAATAATAAATAAATAAATGAATGAATACATTAACCAGGTGTGGTGGTACATGCCTGTAGTTCCAGCTACTTGGGAGGCTGAGTGAGGAGCATTGCTTGTACCTAGAGGCAAAAGTTACAGTGAGCTGAGATCACACCACTGCATTCCAGCCTGGGCTACAGAGCGAGACTTCATATCCAAATAAAATAAAGGGCTGGAAATGTTTCTTTCTTTAAAAATAAAGATGGGGGTCTTGCTTTGTCAACCAGGCTGGTGTCCAACTCCACACCTCAAGTGATCCTCCTGTCGGCCTCCCAAAGTGTTGGCATTACAGGTATGAGCCACCACACCTGGCCTAGCTTGGAAACATTTGCACCTGATCTAGGAGGTTGTATTAAGTGTCTCTAAAGTTCTTTTACATTCTAAGCAGGGTGCCGTGGCTCACGCCAGTAATCCCACCACTTTGGGAAGCTAAGGGAGGCAGATCACCTAAGGTCAGAAGTTTGAGACCAGCCTGGCCAACATGGTGTAACCCCCATCTCTACTACAAATGCAAATCCCAGCTACTCAGGAGGCTGAGGCAGGAGAATCCCTTGAACCCAGGAGGCAGAGGTTGTGCAGCGAGCTGAGATCTCTCACCATTGCACTCCAGCCTGGGTTACAAGAGCAAAACTCTGTCTCAAAAAAAAGCTCTTTTATATTCTGTCTTTATTCATCCATTCTATAGAAATCAAAATTGGATATTACAGGGATGTTTTAGAAACTAAATTGGAATAAGTGGACCCACTCTCCAAGAATGGACTTTATGCCTATAGCCAAAAGTTTGCATGGTGAGGCAGGGCGAAGTGGCTGACACCTGTAGTCCCATCTAGTAGGGAGGCTAAGATGAGAGGATCACTCCAGCCCAGAAGATTGATGATGCCTTCACCTGAGACTGCACCACTGCACTTCATGAATTCCAGCCTGAATGACACAGTAAGACTATTAAAAAAAAAAAATAGCAAAGTGAATATGCTGTTGTTTAGGGCTGGGTAGGGTGGCTCACTCCTGTAATCCCCACACTTTGGGAGACCGAGGTGGGTGGATCATGAGCTCAGGAGATTGAGACCAGCCTGGCCAATATGGTAAAATCCCGTCTCTACTAAAAATACAGAAATCAGTCAGGTGTGCTGGCAGGCACCTGTAGTCCTAGCTACTCGGGAGGCTGAGGGAGGAGAATCACTTGAACCTGTGACGTGGAGGTTGCACTGAGCTGAGATTGCAAGACTGCACTCCAGCCTAGGTGACAGAGTGAGACTCCATCTCAATATATAGATATATATACAGCAATTTCCCTGCCTCAGCCTCCTGAGTAGCTAGGATTACTGGCGTGTGCTACCATGCCCAGCTAAGTTTTGTTTTGTATTTCAGCACATATGGGTTTCACCATGTTGGCTAGGATGGTCTCGATCTCCTGACGTCATGATCTGCCCGCCTCTGCCTCCCAAAGTGCTGGCATTGCACGCAAGAGCCACAGCACCTGGTCAGATTATTTTTATAATCAGAGGAAATGTTACTTGAGTTTATGTCAGTCTTTTCAACTCTTCTTGTGGAAATGTTACTAAACGGATAAGCAAAAAATGATTGTGACAGAAAAGGCCTTTGGTGCTACATGAGCACATGGAGGCCACTCAGTGAGAGAGAAACTCAGTTTCTTGGAGAATGGACTGCAGTGACACAGAAGAAACCTGGGAATCACTGAACTTCCTCTGCAGGATAAACCACAGGGGAGTGCACGGCACCCCTGCCACCTGAGGGTGGGGGACACCAGGAGACATGCCAGGGAGGAGGGGGGCAGGGCAGAGCTGGGGGAAAGCTCTGGAAAGGTCAGAGCCTGGGTTGATCCTGGTCAGATTTCTGACTTCCTTCTGCACATCTTCTATCACAGCTGCTCACACTGTCTCCTTTTCTCAGACCCTAGGGCTTAAGTGGCATGTTATTTAACCAGAGACCAGGGTGCACAGGACAAGCACTTGTATTAAAAGGTGCTGCATCGGCTGGACTCTGTGGCTCATGTTGTAAACCCAGCACTTTTGGTGGCCGAATCAGGCATATTACGAGATTGAGACTAGCCTGGCCAATCTGGTGAAACCCCGTCTCTACTAAAAATACAAAATTGGCTGAGCATAGAGGCACGCACCCAGTTCGTGGGAAGCTGAGGCAGAAGAATTGCTTGAACCCAGGAGTCATAGCTTGCAGTGAGCCAAGATCACGCCATTGAACTCCAGCGTGGTGGACAAAATGAGACTCTGTCTCAAAAAAATAAAATAAAATAAAGGTACTGCATCTTAGAACCACCGGGGACTCACAGTGGTTTCATTCCATCAAATAAATTACTTTTGGATGGTGTAATACAGGATTTGATGAAAAGAGTCCTAAGTTCTAATTTTGATTGGAAGGACATAGAAAAACACTTTATTTCATTTCTGACATAGGGTCTCCCTCTGTTGCCCAGGCTGGAGTGCAGTGGCATAATCAGGACTCACTGCAACTTCGACCTCCCAGGTTCAAGTGATCTTCCCACTTTAGCTTCCTGAGTAGCTGGGAATATAGGCGCTGTCACCACACCTGGCTAATTATTTATATATATATTTGGGTGGAGATGAAGTCTCCCTGTGTTGCCCAGGCTGATCTGGAGCTCCAGGACTCAAACGATCTTCCTGCTTGAGTCTCCCAAAATGCTGGAATTGCAGGTGTGAGCCACCAAGCCCAGCCTTGAATTCTTAAAATTATCCCTAGCACATGTGAATAGAGTTTGTGAACCGTACAAGAACCTTAAAGTCATAATCGGCATTCACCTTAGAATCTTGTGGCACAGTTAGGCTTTTGAAGGAATCTCAGCCAGCCAATAACTATTCCCTAAACAATGACTCTTTTCAGGGCCCTGTGCTATATACAAAGATACAGATTCCTTAGTAGTTGTCAATATCCCATTAATTATGATCATTTGAATAGGAGGTGCCTGGGGGTGAGGGGGTCATCAGTTTCAGTATCTAATTCAGACAATAATGATCCCCAGGCCACCTGACACCAACCCCATTTGCACTCTAAACTATTGTTGCCAATTCTCCCTGAGCAACACTTTAGAAACATAGTCCCTGGTAAAGAATAGCAGAAAGGGCTGGGCGCCGGGGCTCAAACCTGTAATCCCTGCACTTTGGGAGGCCGAGGAGCGCAGGTCACGAGGTCAAGAGATCGAGATCATCTTGGTCAACATGGTAAAACCCCATCTCTACTAAATACACAAAAATTAGCTGGTCATGGTGGCATGCGCCTGTAGTCTCAGCTACTCAGGAGGCTGAAGCAGGAGAATTGCTTGAACCCGGGAGGCAGAGGTTACAGTGAGCCGAGATTGTGCCACTGCACTCTATCCTCTAGCCTGGCACCTGGCAACAGAGTGAGACTCCGACTCAAAAAAAAAAAAAAAAAAAAAAGGCCGGGCGCACTGGCTCAAGCCTGTAATCCCAGCACTTTAGGAGGCCGAGGCAGGTGGATCACGAGGTCGAGAGATCGAGACCATCCTGGTCAACATGGTGAAACCCCATCTCTACTAAAAATACAAAAAACTAGCTGGGCGTGGTGGCGCATGTCTGTAATCCCAGCTACTTAGGAGGCTGAGGCAGGAGAATTCCCTGAGCCCAGGAGGCGGAGGTTGCAGTGAGCCAAGATCGCGCCATTGCACTCCAGCCTGGGTAATAAGAGCGAAACTCCTCTCAAAAAAAAAAAAAAAAAAAAAGAATAAAAGAATAAAAGAAAAGCAGAAAGCTACAATACAAATAAAATTAAAAATCAGTTCCAAATGTAAATTTTCTAATTGTTTGACAAGTTAAAAAAAATACTATTTAAATAATAGCAGGAATGGGCTGGGCGGGGTGGCTCATGGCTGTAGCCCTAGGACTTTGAGAGGCCCAGATAGGCAGATCACTTGAGATTAGGCAGTTGAGGCCAGCCTGGCTAACCTGGTAAAACCCAGTGTCTACTAAAAAAAACAACAAAAATTACCCAAGTGCACCTGTAATCCCAGGTACTCAGGAGGCTGAGGCCTGAGAATCACTTGAACCCAGAAAGCAGAGTTTGCAGTAAGCTGTGATTGTGCCACTGCACTCCAGCCTGGGACACAGAATGACACCCTGTCTCCAATAAACAATACCGAGAGTGAAGAGCTTAGAAAAACAGATATATGTGTCGGTAGGCATGGTGGCTTGTGCCTATCATCCCAGCACTTTGGGAGGCCAAGGCGTGTGGTTAACCTGAGGTCAGGAATTTGAGACCAGCCTGGCCAACATGGTGAAACCTTGTCTCTACTAAAAATACAAAAATTACCTGGCAGGCTGATACCATGATCACGAAGGTGGTTTTCCCAGGGCGAGGCTCATCCATTGCATTCTGGGTGTGCTGACCACTGCGATTTCCTCAAATGTGGGAAATTCCACTGCATGATTTGTGGTAGTGGGGGACTGTGTTTGTGCTTTCCCTTGATAACAGATAAAAATAAATGAATAAAAAATAAAATAAAATAATTAAAAAATAATAATAAATAAATAAATGAATGAATAAATTAACCAGGTGTGGTGGTACATGCCTGTAGTTCCAGCTACTTGGGAGGCTGAGTGAGGAGCATTGCTTGTACCTAGAGGCAAAAGTTACAGTGAGCTGAGATCACACCACTGCATTCCAGCCTGGGCTACAGAGCGAGACTTCATATCCAAATAAAAAAAAGGGCTGGAAATGTTTCTTTCTTTAAAAATAAAGATGGGGGTCTTGCTTTGTCAACCAGGCTGGTGTCCAACTCCACACCTCAAGTGATCCTCCTGTCGGCCTCCCAAAGTGTTGGCATTACAGGTATGAGCCAGCCACACCTGGCCTAGCTTGGAAACATTTGCACCTGATCTAGGAGGTTGTATTAAGTGTCTCTAAAGTTCTTTTACATT